AGACAGGAATATGGAGTAAATTGACATTGAAATTGCTTTCATTTTCAAATGAGGAAACAAAAATCCTTGATGACATCCTTATAAGGGAAAATCATGTGTCTAAGGATGATGGCTTCCCCTAATGTTGCTTTGCATCTTCCCTCTGGGCCCATGCCATGACCGCCCAAGTGTTACTCTTTCCCATATTTCTTGTGTGCACGGCTCTCTCGGACTGCTGTCTACAGGGCACCTGGGCTCACCGCGTGGAACCACAGTGGTTTTGCTTTGCTTTAACTTGGTCAAGATAGTCAACACCTGTGCATGTGCAGCAAGAATTCTTCAGCTTCTAGTTACAAATTACAAACCTAACTCATGAACGCAAGCATAAATCATGAACCCCAGCTCCCTATACCAGCAGTTAATCTGAGGCTGGTGGGATTGAGAAAACAGAAGGGTGTTTGTTGTGCCAGGGCCATGTTCTCATTTTTGGACTTCTTTCTGCTGGCTGTAAATATTGCACTGTTTCACTGCACTGCCTCCTTCAAATGTGTCTTGTCTGGTTGGGTTTGAAGCCCCTGGCCAAGGGGATGGTGCTGAATGGGATTCAGGGCTGGAAACACTGTCCAGCCTGGACTGACCGGGGGCATGCCATGTGGCTGGATTGCTGGTCTCATGCAAGGTCCTTATTTTCTGTAATTTCTCCCCAGACCCCCGCTTCACAATCAGCTCACAGCCAAGGCTCTCGTTAGCTCTAGTCTTTTACAGGTCTCTTACAAGCTGCTGGGAGAGGTTCCAGCTGGGCTGGGGTTCGAGGGGACGCAGATTTCAAGGGCAGGGATTCCAATCCGTTTCTTTAGCACTATGGTCATTGATTTAAGAATGTAGTGAAAGGGGCTTTCAGAATTCAGATTTGCTTAAAATATTATATTGTATATAAATATAAAATTGTGTGGAATGTTTGAATTTCTCTATAGAGCATAGCTTTGTTTAAATGCATGAATTATTAATTAAAGATTTGTGAGATCTTGTCTTTACAGAGTTACTGTATAAGAATACTACTGTGAAGTTATGCATAGTGAATAATAAGATAGCAATATAGAAAATAATAGTGCTTTTAAAACATAATTTAAAATCAATTGAGAAATGTATGGTTCACATGAAAAATCAATTGAAAACCTTTCTTTTTTCATTACCACAGAGGGACATATTTTTTAGTGGGACCCATGACCCTTGTTTCATTTCACAAAACACTGTATATATCTACTGTAGCTTTTGTTTTCATTCCTTTAGCATTGGCCTTCCTGAAGGCAGTACAATTTGAGGCATATTATAAGAAACTTTTCCTAGTAGCAAATGCTTTGGCATCTGTCTTCTTCTTTCATATTATGGTGCCAGCTGGGATGAAGAAATGGTATCTTAAAGGAGGGGAGCAGAACGGCACGCTCAGTGCTATTCCTGCTCCTCTGTGCCTACAGACTGTCTCAGGCTGGCGGCTACGGCCTGTGCTGGCAGCCCCAGTGGGAGCCAGCCTCCAGCGTCCCTGTCTGCCCTGCAATATGCTTCAAATGCCCAAGCGTCAACTCCAAGTAATTGTGCCAAGTCAAGGGCCTTTTTTAATCTCTTCTGACAGACACTGCATCTGCCTCATTCTCTAGCGCCAGAGCTTGTAGCACCATTCTGCAGACCTGTTGCTTCACTCATGCTTTCTGTTCCTGTTCCCACGTCCACAGTGGGGCGGCCCCACACCCCTGTGAGCTGCTTGGTACTGACTTGTACAGGGAACTGACTTGACTTGTTTTGGGATCTGTTTAAAAAACCTCACACTTTCATCTCCTTGATGAACAAACAGTCTTCCATATCTCGTTGGCATGTGGGTTGTGGAGTATAGTGATATAGTGATGTTTTGGCAGGGCAGCGGTGAAGAGCCTTCATTGTACACTGATTGCAGTGTGGCCCAGTGGGGGAACTCCTTTTAAATTAGGCTCAGTTTCGCTGCATGTGCAACAGGCTGCAGGACGAGAGCAAGAAGCCTCTGACTGGGGCTGCGGTACCCAGAGAGGGGATAATTCTGCGACTCCAGGGAAAGCAGATCTCTACACTCGCTCAGTCCCTGTGCTTAAGGCCAAGAGACACATAGGAAGGCATTAAATAAACATTACTGAAAGTAGGTTAGGCAAGATTTATTAAGAAGGCTTTTTGGCCTTGACTAAGAGAGCAATTTACCATTTTTAATAACTCCCTAACATGCAGGGTGGTAAACAAACTAGATAATTTATTGCTGTCCTTATAGGTGGCCACTGCATAGTAAAAAAATGTTTTTTTTCTTTTCTGGTGAGTTTTATATAGTTTTAAAGCACAGTTAGAATCACAGTTCTTTTCTCAAAGCTATTGTTATGAGGTAGAATCCTATACAATGTCATCTCTTTTCCAAAAAATAAAAAAGTGCATTAAATTATATAATATTTTACATTTTGAGTGTTGTCTTGTATCATTATCTAAAAAAACAAGACTGTTTTTATAGCTTTTATATTGTCGCAGAGAACAGATTTGCCGAAATAAGGTAGGAATTTAATTTGTTGAACTAAGGTCTCTCTAATATAAACATTTAATGACCTGTAACTTTTAAAAATATTCTATCAAATAGACAGGAGAAGTCCACTTCCCTCACTCCGTGTTGCGTGTATTTAACATGCCAGAGTTAATTGATGTTAATTTTGAGCACACCAGGACAGAATCAGAAAGATTTGACCCTCAACTGTGATCTCATTGATCAGGCTGTAGTGATCATACCATGCGGCTTTGCGCGGCACAGCGAGGAGTGAAGGTGTGCTCGTACACCAGTCCCCTGCCCTTGCAGACTCATTGTCTCTGTTCAGCAGAGGAGGCATGAAAGGGTAGCCTGCAGGAGGGGATTAGCACTCAGCAGGTCAGTATTCACTAGGTGTGTTCATCGCCTTGCATTTGATAGACCTGAGGAATAAAGTAGCTTGTTTCCTTTCTTGGGTTATTCATGGCCAGCCATATACAGTATGTATAGAATTATGCAATTGCTTCCATAGTTTTGAGATATTTCTTCTTTGCTTTCATCTTTTTGTTTTAATCTGAAGGATATCTGTCATTGCAAACCCAGCATCAGGGGCTTTGCAGGTTATTTTATGATCCGAATGTGAACAACATTCTCTGTGTCCTTCGATCTTTGTTTCCTTCCTCACAGTATTCAAGTCCCTTCCCGATTCTTTAAACAAGACAGCTTTCATCAAGATGCACAAGCACTGTCCTTGTCTTTCTGCCAACTCAGTCACTAGACACTAGTCATAGGAAATGTAATCAGAACAATTTAAACTTCAATGTGTTTGAGGTTTTTTAAAGCTCTGCTGTTCAGTTTCCTCACACTAACACACAATGTCTGCCTGCCATCATGCTTTCTTTCTTCTTCCTCTTTTGTCCAAAGTATCATCAAGGAAATGCCTTGAACCTAACCTCATTTGCCCAGGACAACGTTGTATTTCCGTAGTTCAGATAGCAATGCTATTCATCACATTGTTACTCATTGTAAAAAATGCCTTTTTCTTAGTACAACATACCATAATATAAAGGATCTGGAAGTAGGAGACCAAATCATATTATACAGTGATTAAACCAATACTTTACCTAAAAACAGAAAGTCAGAGTGTTGAGCGAGCATCTCTCTGTTTATTCAATTCAGGTCCACACTTACACTTCTGTTGGACTCACCAGTAAACCACTATCTCCCTAATTTCAGTCATATATTTTGAAGTTGGATGGCTCCATGCCCTGAATTGACATAATTCTCTGGCTATTCCATGTGTCTCTCTCCAGACAACCCAGCAGTACTTAAGAATGGTCAACCAGAGGATTTGGTGGTTGTTGTCAGAACCAGAACTGCTTCATTTCCTGACAGCCAAGCTTTTGATGTGAGTTTGTGAAAGGCACACTTATACTATCTACATCAACAGCTTAGAAGCAGTGTGTAAACATTAATGAACTGTTGCTGCTTTTGTAGCTGAGGCGGAGGGTTCTGTTCTTCATTTCTCTGCTATGTCCTGCCTGCACTGAGCCATCATGCCACTGAGACTCTCTCTCTTCTCCTTTCCATTCACAGTGCTTCAGATTCCGCAGACCTAACTTCTCTTAGAGGGTTTCTGGAGTGTTCACATCTGTCCATTTTCACTAAATTGACATGACAGCTGGATGGCAGTTATTGAGACTATCTTACAAGTTGGAAGAAGTATCGTTCAAGCTTATAACTTGACAGAAAATATACTCAAAACAGTGCTGTGGTTTTGTGGTTTTGCTTTTGATAGAGAAAAAATAATTGGCATAACATCTGATTGAATTGGTATAATATGCAGAACTAAACTCTAAAATTATTCTTTTGTGAAATTTACTGCTTTGGGGAATTCAGACTTTAGTTGGATAACTTAAACTGGGGAAATGAAATCTGGACAATTAAATAGCAGGAAGATCCATTGTGTATATTAGGGTTAGCAATTTGAAGGAATTTCTTATACCGTTCCTATCTCTTATTTGTTCAAGTTTAATGTTACACAGTGGTCACCAATGAAAAAGAAAATGGTGAATTTCACTTCTTGTATTTGTCACAAATCGAATGTAGCAGAGTACTCCTCTCTGTTTTACATCAAAACAGTTGGTCCATACTGGATACACTGGAGGTGGCAGCAGTGATTTGTCATGAGAAAACTGTTAATCTACACTGTAGATTAAAGGAATGTTGGCTGGGCTTTCCCATTTTGTGAGAAACAAAGGAACAATGACAGCAATCAGCCATCCCTCTAGATACCACTCTGTTTATTGAAATGGTGTGAATAGGGTTTTTGGAGTTTGGTATCTGAAATTTAAAGAGGCTTTATTTTCTCTTGCAATGCACAAGGAAACTTAACAAAAGTGAAATGTTTTTTTGGGTTTTTAATTATTTAGATCATCAGTTCCATTGGTGAGTATGGATTTACATAGCCGGCTTTCCTTAACCACCTCCTCACGGCTTTGCCAAACATTCACGGGAGCAGTACGAGAAGCTCTCCATCATGCACAAGAACATGCAGAAGCTGTACGAGAGCCTGGGCAGCTACTTTGCCTTTGACCCCCACGCCATCAGCATCGAAGACTTCTTTGGTGATCTCGCCAACTTCCGCAACCTCTATCAGGTGAGCTCTGGTTTAAATCTTTCACCTTTGGGAAAATAACTTTTTTAAAACTGGTTTTGCGGCATAGCAGAGGAGGGATGTTTTCTGTCTTTGGGAGCATGCGTGCTGTTTTTATTTTTCTGTATGGATGCAGTTTTTGTTGGAAGCAGTGGACGTACATAGGTAAGTGCGTTAAACAGGTAACTCCATCTTGATTCTGCAGTTCCTCCGTTAACCCTCTGGTCTGGGAGTCATAAACTTTGATAAAGGTGTATAGACATTACAGAGATTTTAGACAGAAGATGTGTTATGAATGTGTAATAGGTGTTCAGTTGTACTTTAATTTGCATTTATTAAAACATTAATTTTATTTTGTTTTCCATGACATTTAGGCTTTTGAGCTATGAGATATTTTATTGCCCTTGAGATGAATGATTTCCTGTCATTCTGGGTGAAGGTGCTGAGAGGTTAAGGATCTCTTGATAAGCACCTATAAATGTGATAATAAATGTACTGTCATCCCAGACAAGATCCTGTGTCATGTCAAAATAACATTGGACAAATATGCATGGAGTGCATCATTCTGTTTTATACTGTACATTGAAGTCACCAGTGATAGCCTGTGTCACTTGGATTTATGACAGTCATCTAAGTTAGCTGCTGAAATTATGATCTCAAGGTCTAAGAAGTGTCATGAGCCAAATTACTTGTGCTAACCAACCAACCAACCAACCAACATCCCCTAATTTATGATGTTTTTAGTCAGGGAGAGCTGATTGAACAGTGTGAGTTTTCACTAAGTTAAATACGTGAATTTATCTAGGACCATTCAGGATGGATTTAGTGACAAGCTCAGGGATTCCATGTCAAATGCCATGCTTTGCACCACATGCCAGTGCAGTGTGCCTCCTCATTATAAAATACTACCATTTCTTACCCTCATCAGCCTGGTCACCTTAAGAAACCTGGTTAGTCCTACGATATGGTTTTGTGTCTCAGGTCCTGTAGCTGCAAACCAGAGGCTAGGAAACAGGCTGAGATTGACAGCTGTAGACAGCTCTAGATCTGTCAGGGGAAAGGCCCATCCTTGCATGTAAAATTACAACCTGCCGTCCGGCAGACCTGCTGCTTTTGAGCTTGGAAGTTTACAGCGTTGATCCAAGAACTTCCAAGGGCAGATCTGAGGAGACGATAAAAGACGCATAATAAGTTCCTTGATCGCTTGGGAGAAGAGGGGGGATAACAGAAAGGTCATGTCCCTGCTTTAGGTTAATGGTGACATCAATAAAAAAATGACACGCAGGAATAGGGATCAGGCAGCTCACCATGAGGAGAGTCTTCTTTCCATTTTAAAAGACTTTTATTCATGTTTCCAGTGTTTTCTGTGTTCTTAGACTTTTTCACAATATGTTTCCTTTTTTTAATATACATATCGCAGAGGGATGAGGAATATAATAATACAGAGTGCTTTTACTAATATATCGCTAGGTATAGTAATAGATGTACCAGCAGTGCTAAAATTTGGCACAGGTTAATTTATGTTTCCCATTTTAACATTTCTGCATTTTATAACATATAACATTTCTGTATATATTTTTTACAATCTTTTCTATATGTCTAGATATATGAATATATATATAAAATCTTTCAGTTGATGCAATATGTAACCAAACACAGTGTGCAGGTCAGAGTTGAGCAAATTTAAAAGTTATAAATATTTCAATAAAGTAAGACAGTGCTTCTCTTTTCTGAATGTAAAGCCATATTCGTAATGGTGATCATTTGCATTTTAAATAGTTTTGAGCACTGTTTTATTACATGTATAATTTACTTGCTTTCGGAAGTAATGGTGGCAATTCTTCTGGATAATAACTATTTCCTGAATTCCACTCCACTGGAATGCTTGAATACTCTGCCTTAGTTCACCAGTTTGGGACAATGTAGCGAATACATCTCTGATTTTGTCTGGCCTTACTGCATCACTGGCAGGATGATGAGCACGCAGGAATAAAACACGGTTTGGTTGTGCAACAGAGAAGGAGGTACGGTAGATCCTCTAGTGTATACAGCATAGGACAGTAGTGGGGCCCCTGTTTAAGATAAACTCCTTCCATCCTGAAATCTAAAAATGATGGAGGATGGAGAGACAGGAATGAACTTATTTTTTCATAATATGGAAAACAACCTTGGCAGATACTGAGTAAAGGACAGATAATGAGCTTAGATTACTGTAAGACATACACATGCTGTGCTCCTGATCATATTTGTATGTTGTGTTTTTGAGTTCTGCACTAACAAAGAAAGTCCTTGTATGCTCTGTGGAATCTCATTACTATGTTACTGTATAGTATGTGGTGGACATATAATAGACTTGGAGTACAGAAGACGTTTTAGAGCCATCAATAGACCTTATTTCAACATGAAGGTGTAAGATGCATGACAGAAAGGAGTGTTTGAATATAAAAAAATAAAAAAGGCAAAATCTGTGAATATTCGTATTATATGCAAGATGCTAACTTATTTTTGTTGGTAATTTTCTTTTGCTGTGAAGTGTGTACTTCCTCAAATGTGAGGATGCCACCTTCCAGTTTTCATGCTGCACAAGTTTAATACATGCAAAGGCTGTAAGATGCAGAATCTGGAGCAGAAATAATAAATAGAAGAGAAACGGTAAATGGGAATGAGATTGAAGAGGGGAGACCACTGTAGTCAAGAGGGAGGCTCTTAAATATTCGTTTACACGTTGTGATTTTTTCCTGTCTTTCACTTTCCTTTCCTTAACTAAAAAGTGAAAAGTGTCAGAAATATGACACCTTGTCCAGAGGGTACGCTCAAAGTCTTCAAAACCCATTAATGTGAATGGCAAGGTCCCCTTGACTGCATCTCCCCCCTCTTCTCCCCCTTCATGTGATTCAGTATCTGCAACTAACTTTCATTCTCCTGATCAAAGTACATTGCATGCTACAGTACCAAGAACTCATATAATATAATATATTAATATACGCTACGCTGTTCACAGTTTGGAAACAACAGGAAAGACATTCCAAACGGCTGCTTTTCCCAGTTTATTTAACAGGGTAAAGCCACGACCTTGATTGTATCAGCTGCTGAAGCATAAGAAGGAACACTTTCCGTGCTCTTTTAAAACATGAACAGAGGAATCATGTTCTGAGACTGGATTGGAGTAAACGCTCTGTTTTCCATTTTTCTAAATCTTACCTCCTGCAACGATTGTCCATAATATAATTCTCTCAAGACAAAACCCCTTTATAACTGCCTTATTCTTGCATTATCTTCAAGTATTGGAGAGACAATTGTGAGGCGCAGGAGAGTGTAAAAAGAGGTCTATCTAGGAGGGGGTTGGCTTTGATGTTGTAGTTCACTGCTTTTAAATCACCTTTGGTGTCTGCTAGATTGTGATCAAATGTCACTTCTGTTTAATTGCTATCTGAAAGATTTTGGTCCAGGCTCAGTCAAGCCCGGCCTTTAAAACAGCCTTTCCAATTGGCAGGAATTGATGTTGGGTTTTTTTTCCTGAAACCCGAAGACCAAGATGCTGATGGGTCTTGCTCAAGACGTTTCAGATAATTGAACTCTTTCATTCTCATTCTTGTCCGTGCACTGTGCCAGTGACAGCTGTATTGAGGATCTGTCTCATGCACATTCGTCCAGCATTCACACCCCAGTCATTCATTTAAGCTGCATCTTCTGAAGTGCTGATCCAACCATAACCATTGATGGATGCTGTAACACTCCTGTAGTCTGCTATTAAGAAATGCATATTAATAATAGAGGCTTCATGAAACTTTTTCCCCCAGGAAGTCTGCTTACATAGTCATGTATAGTATCTTTAAGACATAGAAGGAAAAAATGAATTTTTAGGTTTTTAAAAATGAGATTTCCCTGAATGGTCCAGGTATTCTCAATGAAGTTTTGCATGTGTCCCTTAAATGTAAAACGATGAACTGGTTGAGATTTAAACAAGGGTGGGATTAGTGCTGCTGCCTCATATCTCTGATTCCAATTCAGTTCAGACTTTATTATCCCCTGGGGGAAATTTGTTTTACAATAGAGTCCAACAAAAACAGACAGCCCCCATCAACAAATAATGCAGTACAAAAGTCTTACAGCAGATAAAAAAAGATATATTTTGCATTGTTTGAGAGTGAGGGGATAAAATATTTCACCAGTCTATTTCCGCCACACCTGGGGACACAGAGTCTGTGGTTGGATCTCTGGTTGGTCACACATTCCAGTGCTGTAGGGCTTCTCTAGGTCCCTCTATTTGTAGAGGGTGGTTAAGCTTATTTGATTTCCAGTCTACCAGTCTGGAGCTTGCATGTTCTCTTCTCGTCCATGAGCTGGTGCTCCCGCGTGCTCCCACTGCCCAAAGGCACAATGTCTCTAGTTGACCCCCCCGGGTGTGTGTGCACCTTGTGATCGACTGGAGTCCAGTCCAGGGTGGCCCTGCCTTGCTCCCTCAGCCTGCTGAGTGGGGATCCAGATCACCATCACCCTGTATGAATAAAATAGTTACAGGAAATGGATTGATGGATGGATGGTTTAACTAAGTTGTTCTGCATAATAAAGTGGTTTTCCTCAAAGAGAGGCTGAATTCATTTATATAAAAGTCTCTATAAACTCGAGTACAGGGCAGCTGCTTGACTGAAGATTTAATTTTTACATCTCTCTGGCTCTTTCACATAAGGACCACTTACATATACGTACAGTATATGGATTGTATTGCTATGGTGTATGAGGTTCTCTCTTTTTGGCTATAAACGACAGAGAAGATTGTATCCAGTTTAATTTTTGTGTTTCTTTATATTCCAATAGGCGTTTCAATACATATAATAATTCTATGATTATTAAAGTATGAGGAGGATAAAACTATCCATATACTGTATTAACGAGTTATCAAAGTGGAGCAGCTGGGCAGTGAGCTAACAATCAGGCTCATTAATTGAGTGTGCTTCTAATATGACTAATAAAGCCAGGAGAGACTAAGGAGCAGAGCCATG